GAGTAATTTCACTGATTGGTTCAAAATTGGGAAACTGGTTCAAAATTGGGAAAGGAGTATGACAAGGCTGTATATTGTCCCCCAGCTTATTTATATGCAGAATATATCATGCGAAAGGCTGGACTGGAGGAATCCCAAGCCAGAATTAAGATTGCTGGAAGAAATATCAACAACCTCCGATATGCAGATGATACCACTCTGATGGCAGAAAGTGAGGAGGAATTAAAGAACCTTGTAATGAGGGTGAAAGAGGAGAGTGCAAAAAACAGCCTGAAACTCAACATCAAAAAAACTAAGATCTGGTCCCATCACCTCCTGGCAAATAGAAGGGGAAGATATGGGGGCAGTGACAGATTTTATTTTCTTGGGCTCCATGATCACTGTAGATGGAAACAGCAGCCACAAAATTAAAAGAAGCCTGCTTCTTGGGAGGAAAGCAATGACAAACTTTGACAGCATCTTAAAAAGCAGAGACATCACCTTGCCAACAAAAGTCCGAATAGTCAAAGCATGGTTTTTCCTGTCGTGATGTATGGAAGTGAAAGCTGGACCATAAAGAAAGCTGACTGCCGAAGAATTGATGCCTTTTAACTGTGGTGCTGGAGGAGGCTCTTGAGAGTCCCCTGGACTGCAAGGAGAACAAACCTATCAATTCTGCAGGAAATCAACCCTGAGTGTTGACTGGAAGGACAGATCCTGAAGCTGAGGTTCCAGTACTTTGGCCATCTCATGAGAAGAGAAGACTCCTTGGAAAAAACCTTGATGTTAGGAAAGTGTGACAGCAAGAGGATGGATTTACAGGTCTTGTTGCATCAGATAAAATCTTAATCCATAATTTGCACCTAAATGGATCCTATAGCCAGTTGTGATTTAAATGGGGATGTACATGTCTGAACAGGGGAGGTCAGGTAAGGCTCAAAATTGCAACACTTACTGCAAAGCAACTGTCACATGAGGATGGCCCTACAAATCAAGATTGAGAAAATACTGAGCTGTTATTCAGACTTCCTTGTCGGAGGTAGGAATTACATGTATGGTACTGAGGCGCCACAAAGTTCAAGTCAAAGCAGACATTATGTCTGTCTGAGAGAAAATAAATGAAGTTAATAATGCAGGTAATTGTTATGATCCCACAGCCGTATTTTTTTTTAGTCCATTCTCCAAAAGGCTAACACATCCACCATCAGTAGCTCCATCCCTAGACATGGGATTCCCTGCTCCCTGGATGGTCACCACACACTAGATCTGACTGAGCATCCAACCTTTGTCTTTTCAAATGAATCACTATGTTTCATTTGCAGATTACAACTATGATATGAAAACTACTTTGGGTGAGAGGAAAGGGCTGACATCCCGGTCGTTGTAATAGATTTCTATAGGAAGCTGATGGCAATTTCCACTGGGTTGTCATAGAAATCACGGTTTGGAATGAAAACAAGTTGAATAGACATTGTCGTGACTAGAGTGGCATACATGGGTAGAAAGCAGTTTCCAGAAAACCTATTGGCTTACATTTACTTGTTAGGCAAAGTAGCCATAGTTGTAGACAGAGGAATTTTTTTTCGGGGGGGGGACAGGTATATACACTAGCCAAAAACCTGCTCCTCACTGGCAGATGATCTCCCCCCATGTAGAGAGTGGGTCAACTTGCACAGTGATCAGATCAGTGGAGAATTTCATGGGAGCCCCAGAATTAAATAGCTGACATAGTTTTAGTTTTGTAAGAGAAGAGGATGTTCACAGTGAGCAAGAGAAAATTAAAAAGTATATAATAAACCAAAATAATTAATGTTATTAACAAGAAGAACACGTGTGGAGCTTTTCCCCCTCAAAAATTCAATTTTAATCTTGTCTTATACTCCCTTGTGGAATGTTTACTTCAACCCCACTAGGTGGAGAAATCTCTCATGTTCTTTGATTCTGGTGTGGATGCTTCGTTTTGTGGTTCCAATGTATACCTGGCCACAACTGCAAGGTATCCGGTATACTCCTGCAGTGGTGAGGGGGTCCCTTCTGTCCTTTGCTGACCGTAACATTTGTTGTATTTTTGTGGTGGGCTTGAATACTGTTTGTAAGTTGTGTTTTTCCAGAAGTTTCCCCATGCGGTCTGTGACCCCTTTGATGTATGGCAGAAATAACGAAGCATCCACACCAGAATCAAAGAACATGAGAGACACTGCAGACTAAAACAACCAGAAAAATCTGCAGAAGCTGAACATGCCATAAAACAAACTGGACATGAAATTCTATTTCAAAATACTGAAATACTG